TTAAAAGTAAAATATTCTGTGTTTAGAAAAATTTGACGTTCAAAAGGAAAAAAACAATGATGAATAAGAAACAATAACGGGTGTTGGCGAGTGAAGCGAGTAGAGAGCTGTGGAAATTGGCATTACATATTTCCAACCTTACAAAATATCTATAATAACTTAAACTTATTTTTCTAATCATATTAATCGAATTATATTTAAATTAAATCAATAAGTTAACCTTTATAAAAGCGAGACATGAAATATTTTATTTTTTTCTTGTCGATCAGTGTAACGGCTAACTTTTTATTTCAATATTAATGTAGACTCATTAATTCATTGTCACACCTAATCGAAAACAAAAATCTATTTATAACTCTTTATTATTAATTTCTTACTGCAAATATGTTTCAGTTACATGGTTATAATAATTCTCACAGTCTTGTTGGCGATTCGCTATCGCCAAGGTATTTTCAAACTTAATATTAATTATGCGGTTGGCTTTATTTTGGTTATGTTGGCTTTGATAANTGCTGATAGGTAGTCTGAGGTATCTGGTACCAAGCGCTCACCAACTGGTCCTGCAATTCCCTCACATTGCGAGGGGGTAGCGTGGCAGCACGAATTTGGTTTTCCAAGTAGGACCACAAATGCTCTATTGGATTAAGGTCAGGTGAATTTGGGGCCAAGACATGACTTGAAAGTCGCTAGAATGTTCCTCGACGATTCGACCCTTATGACATGGTGCATTATCCTGTCGGTAAACACCTTCCCCTGCAGGAAAAACTGTTGCAATGAATGGGTGAACCTGATCTGCAATTATGTTCAAGTAGCTTACAGACGTCAGGGATTATTCCATGAGGATTATGGATCCTAATGTGCCCCATGAAAACATTGTTCCTCGGCGAGAAACCATGAAAACCTGGGCGAGACCATTGTTATAGATGGAGGGTGGTCATAATCTAATGGCTCTTCGGTGTATGTTTCAGTTATATGATTATAATAATTCTCACAGTCTTGTTGACGATTCGCGATCGCCAAGATATTTTCAAACCTAATATTGATTATGCGGGGTTGTCTTTATTTTGGCTTATGTTATATTTCGCCAATTTGGGATCTCCTCTCAATGTTTCTAATGTCCGTTAGGAATGAATTCATTCACTTTCAATTTCAAATTTGTCCCAACTGTTATATATATTCATGTTAACAAAAACTCTCGATGTAGGAGAGTGTTTTGTCTTGATCCCTTTAAGGGAATTTGTCTTTATGATTTGTATATTTTGGATATGGCCATTTTCTTAAATATACTAACTCTTACTTTAATAAATCAAATTTTTGCTTAAACGATTTTATTAATTTCTCTGGAGATAAATATTTCAGCCACAACTATATGGCGATCACCAAAATAAGAGATCTGCCAGTCCTCCGGTTTTATAAATTATTATTAGAAATATCATAAGAAAAAATTTTTAATAATACTGAGATTCATTATTAATTTTTTGTAGTTTTGTCAGCGTAACCAATTGAAGAATTCAGTCTTATTTGATTTTAATTTTTTTTAAATTCTAAATTAGTAAGTTTAGAGCTGTGATTTTTTTTATAATTTTTTTAATATTTATAATTTACACTCTATTAACTTTATCCTAACCTTTATTGTATTTATTGAGTTTTATTAAAATTGTGAAGAGTTATTTTTTAATGATACCAACATTATTCACGATACAATGCTCCATAAAATCTTTAACTGTGCATAATAGCTGTTATTACATTTCATTGAACAATTTTTCCTATGTTGCTCGGTTAATTAAGTTTTCTACCACTTTCACTGAAAAAAAACAGCTAAATTAACTATAAGTTTTAAAATTAAAAAACAAATTATCAAATATTATTAATCAAATATTATTTAAAATACGAAGAGTATTTTATTGAGAACTTCAGTAAACCGTTGTAAAAGATGTAAAATCCAAATAAAACTGAAAAATAGAGTAAGAAATGACTAATGTACTTAGTTTTATCTAAGTCTTAAAAAAATTGATCTAATGCATATGTTTTTAATCTCAATGTTTTCTTTCACAATATATATTTAACTTCGAACTTCTTCTAATAAAATTTTAGTTAAATTAATTATTTATTTAATTTTTTTTTATTTTAAAATCAGCTGCGCTTATTTAAAATATCACACAATTACAAATATGACTATCAATCATTTTTTTTATAAAACATTCAAACTAAATGATACTATATCATATGGCATCTATTATGGTGCATTCAAACTTTTATTTAGTTTCTTGACTGAGACTTTTCTGCAATTTAAAAAGTATAATTTATCAAGGAAAATTATCAAGAAATATGTAATTGGAAGTGATTATATTTCGAAATATTTAATTACAATCTATTCTTCTGAAAAACATATAAAAGATTTCTAAAAAATTTAAATGGAGTTAAAATACCATGTGTAAAAATATGCAAGAATAATTATCGATTAATTTTTAATCTTTATACACAAGAGAAAATCGATATAAATATTTTATATTTCCTTAAACCTAAATTAATTAGGTTTTCGTTTACGTCTAGTAGATACGGGTGTACTCGGTTACTACTTAGATGTTTTGGTCACTAAACACCACTATATCATTAATTTCACCTCGTAATTCAAAACCAATAAAAAGAGTCAACTCCGTTCAATAATTATTATTAAAATATTCCCTGACTCCTTTGTATGGGAAACTGAACACCATTTTAATTATTTTTAATTAAAATGCAAACTCGCTTCTCCTTCTAATATAACTTACATAGCGGTAATAATTAAGCTATAATTCAATATATTTGCTTTTTACTGCTAATAAAACTAATTCTATTAATAAGTTTTAAATTTTGCTTTAAACATATTCTAGATCGATAATTATCGACTCAGAGGAATTATAAAACTCTAATTTTTAGAAATAAATGTTGACAAAATACTTATTTTTCTAACTTTTAAGTTTTAGGAAATGTTAAATGTATACTTATGGTCGTAAACTTATGGGATATAGACGTAAAGTATACAATTGATACTAAATCTGGATGAAATCTATAATCATGCTTATATTAATAATTATATTGATTAAAAATAAAAATAATTAGAGGCATATAATTACTAAATTGCATAAATTACTAAAGAGAAATTAAATTATATTTTATTAAAACATTTATAAAAGTGTTTTTTTTTAATTTGTTATTTTTAAAATATTCTAAAATAGCCAGAATTGAAATAACACGTTGTAAATAAGACGAATAATTTAATTTTTCTTAATCTCTTGTATTTATATAATAGGTATACAAAAATAAAACTAATAAGGGTGGTCTATATCTGACCTTTGTGGATTATGAGTGCTAAAACTAAGTGTTTTTAAATTATTTCAATTGGTGGTGGACCCTTAGGATGCTATAGGAAATTAATTATAAATAATTGATTAAAAAATTGGTTTAATGAGCATTATAGTGAAGCTTCTGATTAAAATTTTAAAAAATTTTCCTTTTAAGATGCTTACTTTTAAGAGAAAACTTAAAATTTGCAGTTGCTATGTTTTGCTAATTCTTATGAATGTTTGATATAAATTATACACTCTTAGCAATTTTGAAACGATTAATTTAATTGGAAATTAACCGTCGACGGGGCAGCAAGCAAATTTTCCTGTCATTTGCATCCTGTCATTTTTTTATCCTGTCATTTGCATAAGATCCACCACCTACAAAGTTACTTTAAACTTTTCTATTCAAATTTTAACGCAACGTGCTCAGACCATTAGACGTATGCATTTCTTTTGTTTTAGTTCACAGATTATATTAACAAATATAACGAATAAAATTATTAAAATGACTGAATGTGCTCCTATATCTCTTGAACTACGTCGTTCGTAATGGTGGAAATTATCGCATGCATGAGAAATAATTTCAATTTGTCATTAAGTAGTAAAGAGTTATTATTTTAAAAACTATCTTCTACCCTTTTTTAAAGAAATTCAAAATCTGTATTAATAGCTTTTTAAAAAAATGATTTTAAATCGTAAAAAAAGAAGGTAATTTAAGATCATAATCCTCATCGATTCTATAGAAAAAGCTTATCTAATTTAGTAAAGGAAATAATCTAATACATTGATTTTACACAGGAGAAAAAAATTCTGGTGAAATTATGGTACTGTATGGTGAACCTTAAGTAAGGTGTTTTTATAAACAATAATGAAGTGTTTTTAAGGAAAATAAGGTGTAAAAATTAATAAGATGTTTTTGAGGTTGATGTGAAGTGGACAGATGGGAGAAATTGCACCTGAAGTAAAAAATGAGGTTATGTTTTGGACCAAAAATAACCTCAATAAGTATTAATTTCAACCTCATTTGCATTTTACAAAATCTACCTCATATATAACTCAGAAGTAATTTTAGTTTGAAATCGGGGGAAATTATTCACACCTCAAATGTACGTATTTGCTTGAATAGTAGAAAAAGTAATCAATTCACCTCAAAAATAACCTACCTAAACTGGTTGTTCCAAAGTAGATTTCCATCAACCACAAAACAACCTCAAGTGTGGATAAATTTTGGGTAATAAAACCAAAATATACGGTATTTAAATTATCCATTTGATAATTTTCCGTTTATATGATAATGGTTTATAGAAAATTCTGGTTCTCAAAATCATAGTTCTTATTATTACACATTTAGTAAGTATACAAACCTGAAAAGTAGATTTAACCGATTGGATGGTTTTTCTGCCATGTTCTAAGATATCATAATAAAATTACAAAATTTTATAATTTATTATGAAACCATACTTCATTGTTAATTTTACCAAATCATTACCAAAGCGCTTCAGTTAAAATTATCAAGCTTTTTTGGTGTTCCCTTAGAGCCCGAATCACGGTATATTTTACCATATTCTGGTAATTTTGACCATGCTTTTTTTCTCATTGTTACTTTTTCATCTTTTAACATTAAAAAAAATCAGTTTCGAATTTGTATCTAATAAATCTATCTATTGTCAGGTATGTCGCCATTATGCATCCTATCAAAGCTCACATCGTATGCTGCAGGACAAGAATACTTCATGTCATTTCCATCATATGGCCAGCAGCCATGATATGTGCGTCTCCTAACCTTGTGTTCCATGTTATAATGACAGCAGATGAAGAATTTACTCCATGTGTAATGCAATTCCCAGATTTGATCGATTTTGTTATCTTCAAATATTGTGAATTCTTTCTGTTTTATCTCATCCCTCTAGTGCTTCAGGTAAATATAATCAATATTTATAAACATAATGTTTCTGAATACAAAAGCTTTATTTAAACCATAATAAAAGTTATATTCAAAATTAACACTATATTTAATTGGTTTAGTACTATAATTTATTATTATGCCGTTTAATTGTTATACCAACCATTGTGTTTTACCCAATTTCACAAGAACTTCTAAATGGGATAAATTACATCGAAAAAAATTATTTTTCCAAAAATAAAAGCTTAAATTTGAGCAACTTAAGCAGTTATGAAATACAAAAATAAAGTTTTCAAAACTACATTGTTAAGGGATCATAATGATCCGATTATTAAAATATTTCTGCTTTTTTTTTCCTAATCTAAAACAAAAGGCAATCATCGTCAAAAAAAATTTCAGTGAAAGTAATAAGCTAAATGTGTTTCGTTTTAATTGGGTGTCAAAGAGAATTAAAAATTTATCATATTGCATAATTTTCTTCACTTAACTCCAAGAAATTTCACCGCTAGATTACGGTCAGGGTCCGGCAAAAATTGCTTCAGCCATTGACCGTAAAAATAACATCCAACTAAATCTATCATGACCGTAAATATACAGGTCTACTTGTAAGTTTTTTCTTTGAAAAAGCATGACTACTGACGTTAAATTAATTTTATTATCATAAAAGTTATATTCAATTCGGACCTGAACATTCTTTGAGACTCTGTCAATTTGTTTGTCGAATTAAAGCGAACCGTGTCACGAAGTGCAATATTGTAGTGCTGCCATCTGCAGAAGAGTGTAAGAGTTGCGTAACCGTTGTCAACGATCAATTCATTATCGAAGATGGAATGCGAGAGAGATGTTCTTTGGCACTGATTGAGTTTGAACCCGGTCCTTTGAGTCCGCATCATGATGCTGAAACCACCATGGAAAAGTGTGCACACTCCCTAATTGAGTTAGAAACTTTACATAATAACCGTATACTTTAACAGTCAATTATAATAATTTTAGTGAAGTTTGTCACAATTTAGAACTCTTAGGGAAATAAATAATAATTTTTCTGTCAAATAGCTTACTGTATAAATTAACGGTCAATTATATTGTTCATCACGATTGCGGTCACTGGACTTTTTTTCTCAAAAATTAGAGCTACCCGTATAAATTAACAGTCAATAGTTCGAATTTTACATGAATCTTTTAGAGTATTAACTTACTGATTTATGTAGGAAACATTTCGATTGCAGATAAATTCTACTTGTAGTAATCAAAAAACTTAACTTTTAATTTCCTCCTACAAGCTAAAATTAGAACTTTCTAGATTAACAGCACTCCAACTAGCCCTCATAAGCAATCAAGTGAAACGGTTAATATATAATACGTTCTGTTTTAACTCACCCCATTAATATTTTTTTCGCTAATAAATTAAACTGAATCCACTAAGCTAAACTAAATCTCTATGAATAATTATCTTAAATACAGAAGCTTAAATTTAAGTATAATAAATGTAAGTTTTTATATACTTGTTTTGAAACTAGAAGCCTTATTTATAATGCGAAAAAGATTCCTTACTATGCGCTTTTCTGTTGGATTATTTTTACTTTCCTTTCAAGCATGAAATTTTACACATTTTACATAATATTTGTTTCGTTTAAAATACAAAAATGTACTTCAATATATTTGCATTTATCTTATACATCTGTGCTACTAGTCTCATTTCTCACAGATTTAATATTAGCTACAGAAAACAAGATGTTTAATATTCATTATTTTTAATAAGCATTTTTTAATACAAAAATTTTTTTAGCATTCAAATTTTTATAAGAAATATTTGATAAATTTATACAGATTTAAATATTATAATCTAAAATCTTGAAAAATCTAGATAGATTAATAAGCTTTATTTTATAATTATATTATTATAATTTTTACGCATTGTGCCGTGACACAAATAATTATTTTAAGAAGTAAATCAGCATTAAAATAGTTTAACAATTTCATTATTTTATTGGGTTTAATATTTTTTTTATCAAGTATTACCGACATTAGTGCTCAATTTCTGAAACTTGCAATAAAATCAAAATATATTTGCTAGCAAAATGCTTTGTTTTACATAACAATTTCCGCGAAATTCCCACAATGCACCATAATGTCTGATCATAAGTACTGTATAAAATTATCTCCCCTTTTTAACTAAACTGAAATTATTTTCTCGTGACAATTATTTTCTGACATTTAGTAAGAATATTGTCTTTAAGTTTCTCAAATTAGACCAGTTGCAGTAAAATGTTTTCTATAAACATTTGACCTTTTATACTATTATTTTACTGAAATAAAGATTAAAAAATTTCGCAGTTGACCAGATCCATATTTCAAAATTAACAAACCTTTCAGAAGAAACTGCAATAATATGTCATGTTTAAATTCAGTGAAATCTATAGAAATTATTTTGCTTACTGTTACGTGGAAGAGTTAAAATTTTCTAAGTAATTGCACTTTATTTTTGTGTGAATTGGAAACTGTTTTAAAATGTCTTTTTAATATTTGTCCCTGTTTCTCTAAATAAGTTATACTTGATTTCAGTGTTGTTTAAGATAAATTGCTTTAACATAAATATTATTTTATTAATACATAAAACAATTGGTTCTATAAAATAGTGGTATTATTTAAACTATCATGATATTTTGATTTAAAATAATGATATTTTTTGAACTCACATAATATTTTTCCATGAAATAGTGGTCAATATTTTCAGGAAAAACTGCTAACTAGTTTAAAAATCATTAAATAGTTGTCCTTTTTTCTTTTAATAAATTAAATTTGACTTCATGTCCATTAAGATAAAATAGTTTTAACATATCTAAACAGCTGATTCGATAAAATAAACCTGAATTTTGAACTAACGCCATATTTCCTTTTTTATAAAATGGTGGACAATGTATTTTGGAAAATTGTTAAATCTTTTACAAATATTAAATGATTGTCCTTGTTATTTTTTAAAATAAATTTGACTTGCCTTCTGTGTTGCTGAAGACAAAATCGTTTTTATTTTAATTTTACTTTATTGATACCCAAAATGACATTTCTAAGAAATCATTCAATTAAAGAATTCCCAAATTTGAACTAATTTCAGTTAACTTTAATGGAAATGAATTTTTCAATGAAGTAATTCATTGTGATATAGATCTAGTACTGCTTTTTAATATCCCGTTTTATTAAAAATATAAATAAACTGGTGTAAGTAATGATCTAAAAACTAGAAATAATAGAATAAATTTAGTCCCTTCCCAAATCATTTGTTAACGTTATTCTCTGCTATAAATTTTATTTTATCTAAACTATCGCTTCCATGCTTTCATTAACACAGACATGTAACTTTTAAATCTTTTAATTAAAGGTCGAGAGAGGACTGAACATTTAATTTATGCGTTTCTTATTTATTTCCATTTATTTACATTTATATTAGAGTAAGAATATATGAAGTGAAACACTGCTTTACCATTATTTACCATCGCAAAGTATTATTAATACTAACATCTGATAAAATAATTACTGTTATTTAAGAGTTTTACTTTTTAAAAAGTATATTGCTTAAACAGTTGAAAGATTTGAGGTCTTATAGTGATAAATCACGCTTTTTGACATTTTTTTAACCAAATTGTTTACAGATAAGTTTTTAAAATTGCAACTGGATAACAGTACAATATACATTGACATCTTATTATCATGGAAGTTGTGACGTTTTTCACCAAAATATCCTTTCCTCAATAATTTAAAAATGTGCTTTATATTACCCAAAACCTTTTAATTCAAATGAGAAACTAGTTTAGTTTTATCATTGGATATTTGCGGTAAAATGCATAAACGATCAATTAAAAAATAAAATATGAAAGATTATTTTTTAAATGCAAAATACTCATTTGTTTCACAAAGAGTGTTTTTAGAGTATTTCAGAGTATATCTTGCACAAAGAGAGATTGCTTTATGTAAAAGAAGATGAGAATGTATTTTTATAATAATTACGAAACATGATAATCTAGATCGTTATATGTTAAGTTTACACAAAAATCAAACGAAAATCAGATTTTGGTTTTAATTTTGCTTAATATTTAAAAACATTAGAAAAAAAAATTTTACAAATACAAGATCTACCTTGTTTTATTTCTTTATCTCAAAAAAAGGAACAAAAACACAGTTTAAATTTCCACATTTCTTTATTTACGGAAGAGTAGGAAATACCGGGTAGTATAAGTAGTGGGATGAAACCGGGTTGCTCGATTCTGACGAAATTAATTCTGCTTTCTAGCAGACAGACTTGAATGAGACAGATTTTACTACACTGTAAAAAATTCCGGATTTAATTCTGGAAAAGAAAACCGGCACTCTGGGTGCATCATCCGCAATATCTTTTTTTTTTCGTAACATTTTATACCGTATATTTTACAGTAATAACTCAGTGATTCATTTAACAGTGATTTTACAATAAATATTACTGGTAAAAATTACGATATATCAAATTTTTTGTTTCGTAAAACTTTACGGTAATAATGGATTTCGCGATAAAAAGTACTGATCCTGGGTTCCGGTACATTCACCGCAATTTGATTGATTTTTTTTTTACAGTGTAAGATCTGGTGATTTGACTTTTTCTGGGACAAAAATCATTTATAAAATAAAGTAATGACTCTATAACTTTTCAGAAATGATACATTAAACATTTAGTTGTGTTTAGTATTCAGTAGCAATCTGCATACATACGCAATAGTATTTTGTACAGTAAGATAGATACATCACAAGAGTATAAAAAATCGGGTTAAATATTGGTTAAAGAAATAAAAAAAAATTATTTTTAAATTGTAATATAATAAGTAACATTAGAAATTAATAATTAATTTTTTCGCTAGTTAGAAATCAATTTTAAAAAAAAAGCAAATCGAGCATACGTATTCTATCACAATAATCCCAGTCATTTCGTACTTTGTTGTGACGTACTGACGGATTCAGTGATAAAAAGAATTTAGTTTCCAGTTCACAATCGGATTAATAAACAAGAGACATCACCTCGTTCAATAATAAACTATCTATATAATTCCATCACTGCAAGCATGAAATAGTTTTTAGTTATTTATTTTCATATTAAAGTTTAATTGGATAACGAAAAGAACTGCCTTTTAGCAGCTAGTTCAACGATTTTACTTCAACTGACAAAAATTTTCAAAAACTGAAATTATTCAACTGATCATAATATTGTTGTGACTTTTAAAATCAATAATAATATTAATAATATTAAACTCACTTCTGTAATGTTCAATTATCATTTCTGATTCGGAAGTTGAAAACTCTTCTTTCTCTAAGTATTCTAATAACAAACACAAGACAACTATGGAAGTAAACAAGCATTCGACTGCCAGACGCTAAAAGTATGATGGCAAATAAAGAAAATCACCGATACCTTGCCAGATATTTTAAACTTGCTGAATATCCAAATCCATCACCGATCCGTCCACTTCGATGACGAGCTTGTCATCGGTGGTCATTCCCGGACGTCAACGAGCCAGTCACAGTGACCCGAATCACCTCAATTGCAGTCCCCTTAAGATAAATATGGAGACCCAACATCCGGATGCGATTAACTAATCTTAGTATTGAATAATGAGTCATAACAATCAAATTACTATCATTGACTTAAATTTACTTTTATTTCAGGTTGTATTGTACATCCGCATGGGACTTCGGTTATTCAGTTCGGAAACTTTAAGAGCTATGGAACCAAATGTTGGAAAAGACAAATTTGCCGGAGCCATGAAAGCAAGAAAAGGTGTCATAAAAATGCTGGTGGCTGGTGTCACCGTCTATTTCTTAAGCTTTTCTCCTCATCAAGTCCTCCTCTTATACAACACATTCTCATCAACACTATTCAAGGAAACCTGGTCTTTTCTCATATTTGTAAACATTATGGCTTATGCATCATCTGCTTGCAATCCTCTTCTTTACAGCATATTTTGCCAGAAGTTCAGGCAAAAGTTTCAAACACTTCTTTCATGCTGCAAAAAGAAACGTGGCACACCTTTACCTTCGGCTATATATCTTGGTTGCAGAAGCAAGAATTTTCCAAGCAAAAGTGTAAAAACGACTGTTACGGAAATTTGATATTTAAGAAAAGTCTAATGTAATTTATTGTTATATTTTTTGAAATTATCAAATTCATTCATCTGGTATTAATTTATTTTTAATTGGACTATTTTTTATTTACCTTTTAATCTCATGAAGTTATTCTCCTTTACAACACATTCTTTGCAACACTAACTTTATCTTTCCTCACACACTGTTAGAAATATCTAGTTCAAATAACAATTTATTTAAGCGTTATTTTACCATATTCAGCATATACAGTCAAATAACCATAATAAAAATGGTTATCAATGTGTTAACTGTGAGAAAAATTGCTCATTGATTTTTTTCACCAAATATGGTGAAACAACTAGAGATTCATCCATGCCACTAGGCCCACCTTATGATGTCAGTTACTTTATGAAGTCACTATAGCCGAAAAGCCACTCTGTTAATCTCATGACTGGATGAACGAGGGCTTGAATCATAATGTTGACACCACAATGCCACATGTTACGGATCATTTGACAAAATACAACTCAACCATAACCTATATCTGATATCCGTTCCTTAACATTAACTAACTCCAAAGTTCAATTCAGTTTAAACTTTACGGTTTTGAAACAATGCTAGTTGTAAATGATTACAAAATTATATAGTTTAGTATTCGTGTTTTTTTTAACATACCAGTTGTAAACCGTAAAGGTAGAGAAATGTTCCGACTCGCTAATTTTACGGTTTATCTGATGGACAAACTGTTGCCAGTAATTTCACCGTAATTTTATAATGGAAATTCTAACAGTGTATTCGCAAACATTATAACTTATGCATCACCTGCTTGCAATCCGTCTCAAACACTTCTGTAGTAATGTATGAAGAAATGTGTCACACCTTCACCTTCGGCTGTATATTTAGATTGTCGAGATAAAAACTTTCCGAGCCAAAGTGTGAAAATGGCAGATACTAAAAATTTGATATTTGAGAAAAATCTAATGTAATTTTCAATCAAATTTAGACCATATTTTTTGTAATAATCAAAGTGATCAATGATTAATTCCTGGTATTCATTAACTTTGGATATATTTGCATCTGAAAACTTTTTATCTATCAGCTATATAAAGTTTTCGAATAGGTTACTTAATGGTTGAATTGCTTGTTTGAAGACAATGACACTAAACTGAAACAAGGATGGTAAAATTTCTCTGTTTCAATCGTTTTATGAGAAAATTACAGCAGGTAAAATATTCATATTTACCTGAAATATTTTATTATGATATAGAAACTCTCTTGACATGAGTTTTTAAAGTTGAAATGGTAGTTAAAAGAGGAAATAATCCACTAATAGTTCTCATATTCACAAACTACTTACTAGCTCATTTCTTTTTCTATCGGTCGTCATTGTTTTACATTTAAGGAGTTATTTTTTAAACTTGTTTCTAAAAATAAATATTTTAGATTTTAGAAACTTTTCTGAGCTCCTATTTCTTGGCATATACAACCCTCAGAATTTGGTTTTCTTTTTTATAGTTCAGTAATACCCAGAAACGTTACAAAATATGCAAAGGGTTGCTTTCAAATTCAATTTTACTATTAATTTCACTTTCAAATTCAAATAATTTCATTGAAATGCTACAAAAAAAGAGGGAAGTGCTTGTTGCAAAATCACTGACAAACCTAACTCTTTACAAAAAAATTATATTAAAAAAATTAATTTAAAGAAATTGAAAAAAAAATTTTAAAAAAAGCATTTCATTTCGCTAAAACACATAAAAGCAACAAAATTTATATTAGGTGTTATTGCACGCACAATATTATTAATCAATTTAACAGAACATAAATTATTTCGAATCCTTATTGTATGAAAATTAAACACTGAACCTTATTTTTTTTTCTAAATCAAAATTCTAATAATTATTTTGATAATTCTATTATTGGAATAACTTCAGCTTTCCAATTGCTTAATTTACCAAATTTAATCAACCATGTTTATTTTTATTTAATTAAAATCATTACCAAACCACTTCGGTTAACAGAAACACGGTAAATTATTCCATATTCTGGTAGTTTAAACTCTATTTTTTACTCAGTGCACTTTCAAGCATTTCTTGTTAGCATTTTTTAAAATATTTTTATGAAATAGTTTAAATGATTATAATAAAAACTTAAAATGTAGTTATTTTTTAAACTATTTAATGCATTAGCATGTAAAGAATTTATCTACATGATAAGGAAAATATTAGTACTATTCCATGTTTAGAATTGTTTAAAATATTTCTCTGTTATTGATTATAATCCTTTCGAGTCGAGGAGGAAAGAGAAACATTTAAATCTTCGATTAAATAAACCCTAAATATTAATTTAAATTTCTACTTATACATTCAAATGTCAAATAGAAAGATACGAGAATATTTGCAGTATTCCTTATTCCTTTATTGCATGTGATATAGTCTAAAATCGAAAACATTCTGAGATTACTTGTCCTCATAAGCCTTGATAGTTCCTTTTTAATGGTTCAAAATTTACTTTATTCCTTGATAAAAATTCTGATGAAGAATTTTTCAATTGAAGGTACCCAAGTTATTTGATAGTATATATTTATTCGTTAACCATTTTTTCTCAGCATTAATTTAAAATTAATTAATATTGTCTTAAATGTTTATAACATATGTCTTAGTTATCTTCAGAAAAACTAAATATTCAAGGTGTAGAAATAAGCGTAGTAATAGGGAATAAATTTAATATAGTCTTTTAGCTGTCGATTGAAAAATTTTGCGCTATTTCAAACAGAATTTGGTTTAGAAAGCCCCGAAAAATTCATGAATAAAAAAATATATATAATGTGAGGAGGTATAATATTAAGATACAATTACACATTTTTGTAATATGTATACAATAATATGTTTATTATAAGTCTAAAGATACATTAAAAACTATAAGAGATACATCATACTTAACCACGATATAATTACTTAAATACTTTTTAAACTTGAAATTACTACTTTCCGAACTGAAACTTTCTAATTCTTAACTACTTTCTAAACTGGAAATTACCGGTCTTTCCTGCTTTTGACATTATATTATTAACTAAAAGGAAGTTTTAAAGTATAATATATTCCGTTCTTCAACAACGAGGATAAATCTTGGCAAAATGGTGAATTATATTGATGAAAACAAGGCCAATCTCATAAGAAAAGGTCTGTGTCTCTCACCAACTGTTATTTGCAAATAAACCAGATGTTTTTCCATCAAGCTTCATGAATTACTGAACTAATGTCATATCTAGAGTCAAGAAGAGTTACTGAACTATAAGTCATACTCGCTTATGTTGAATCCTTTGCTTTAAACAAAAGGATATTGCTCTCATCAAAGAATTAGAGCCGCATAAAATTTTAACCTGTAATGAGATACTCTAATCACAAATACCAACAACTTAAACGCTTGAAGTAGAACTATATTGATTGATTTAGCTTGACTACGTCCAGCAACATTCACTTTGATTTTATACAAGGGAATGATCAAATTAAGTAAATGCCTGTTTCTTACTCTACTCCAGATAAAAAGTTCCAAACATAAGAAAACATTCTAAGTACAAACTTCATACATTTTTTCTACCAATACAATTCCCTCCCATTTATTAGCAACCTGAGAATATTTTCTGTTTGAACTGTTTGTATAAATATATAATCATATAAATAGATAGCTAGTCCTTTCTGAGCTATTATTATCACTAATAGTTAAAAAGAAGTTGAAATTTTTTATCTGTATTTTTTATATTCGTATCAAAATAGTCAACCTTTTAAATACTAGCATTTAGATAACATTATTCGCATTGCTTATTATTTCTTATAATAGTTGATAACTTTAATTATTTTGGATATAGCCAATAAATAACGAGTGATATGCTATATCATACGGTTTCTTTAATGAAACACAATTCATAATTGAATTTGTTCCCAATTGAATATCAAGAGGAAAGAAATATTTATATTCATTTTTCACAAAAATGACGACTTGATCACCATGTATTGCATTTTGAGGATTAAGAAGTTTTGACAAATCAATAACGTGGAAAATTCATTCTCCGCCAGAGTTGTACGACAGTGAAGATGGGCCGTACTGTAGAATAACGGCGCCTGTCCTATCGTGAATTTGTTCTTTCTCAGAATCAGCTTTCATGGACGTAAACAATACTTCTCTTTTGAACCTCAATTGTTCAATTGATGTACAACTTATCATACAATGCCATGTGTCGTAAAAACATTGATTACTTATTTAAGCAAATTGCACACGTAATCCTTGTCTTCATCGACCGTTTAAAACAAATGTACCCATAGTGCTCTTCGACCTCCTCAAAGGTGTAGAAGTCAGATGAGGATAAATCTGGACATTTGGACTTATTCTGCTGACAAGTTGTGATTAACCCATTGCATGTGCACTTAAGAAAATTCCAATGTGTCCCCGGTGATTACGTACACAGCGCCAAAGACCTCTTCAACGAAAAGCTCTCTTGTTCCAGAAATGTCGTTTACTGTTGTACGACGATTTTTTGTATGAGTTCATCCACTTTCACAGCATGCTGATCTGTGATCCACATTTTGCGCATCGCTAGTGAGATGTGTCCTTCGTGAAAATGCTTACTTCTCTCCTGCATCATTGAAAAACAAATTACTCTTGTTCTGAATTCACTTCTTCTCAGAATCAGCTTTCATGGACATAAGCAATTCTGCCCCTTTGATCTTGAACTGTTTAAACCTGGATCACATTGTACAACTAATAGCACAATGCTATGTATGGTGAAAAAATGATTGCTTATTTGAAAACTTGCCTATGTAATCTTTGTCATCATCGTTCTTTTGAAACAATTGTCCCCATAGTGCTTCTTTGACAGCGTCAAAGATGTAGAAGTCACATGAGGATAAATATGGACCACTGGTCTTCTTCTGATGTCAAGTATTGATGGATCCATTGCACGTGCTCTAACTGAAATTTCAATGTTTCCTTACGTAAACAGCACCAAAGATTAGCTCTCTTGCTCTCGA